CCCTTGAGGTTGAGCCGTGTGTGCAAAAGGCCACCGACATAGGGGATCCGAGCTCAAATTAGACCCCGCATCTGAAACGGGGGTTACAGGTCATGCACACCTATGAGGGCACACCTAAACAGGCAGATCAGATGAGCAGATTAATATCCCCCTGAGTTTTGTCACAATGTGTGCAGTGTGAAAACCACCGTCTAAAAGGTCCATCTGGACATTTGTATGGTAACAAGGGAAGTGAAAGTGCTCATAACTCATCAGATCTGGCTTATTTATGGATCGAGCGTGAGAGGAATACTAAATATTTGGGATCTTCTGATGCATACCTGTTTTATTATCAGTGCCTGGCTGCATGAGCCAAGTCTATAGTACTGCACATGTATATTGATGCACTTCTGTGCTTTGTTCAATTGCATGTTTTTCTCATCAGCCTGTTACACTCTGGTGGCTTTTTTTCTGCTCATACTCATCAACACCGAACGAGCACAGATGTCCCCTACAGCTCCTGGTTCCCTTCGCTAACCTGAACCACAGTTCAACCTCACCACCCCCCCACTCCTAATGTGGGGAGAGCAACCATTGTCAAAGCAATGTACCTGTTAGGCAGCTAACTCTCTTAATCCTCCCTCCTCTGTCTCTATCCCCTGATTTTCACTACATTACATCAACAGCACAGAGGGATGGAAAAATCTCACCCCTTAGTTACACTGTATTTTGGAGGTTCTGTGAACTTAGTGACGTAAATGCAGATGGGGTTAATCAATATGTCTTTCTCTCTTTCTCTCTCTCACAAATAAAATCCTTGTGCTTTCCAGAAGAATCAAGCATCACTACTGTGTCCAAAACAATTGCACTGGGAGCTATCATTACAATCTTGGCACTTCATACAGGGAGGGAGTTAAAAGACCAGTGTAATTGACGTAAACATGAGAATACTATATAAAACACTGGGGGCTTTCAACCTGGCGTAAACAAAATTATATGTTTTGCTATAATGTGTCCTATGCTGCAGATGGTATTGTCTAACAAGATCCTAATCCTCTTAGCTGCAGGCCTATTAGCTTTTACTGTGTCTTGTAATGTTGAACTTTACATTACACCTATCCACAGCACGCATTTAGGACCTCATAACTGAGTGATGCTGTTTGCGCGATCACATTTTAACACATAACAAAAACGCTTCAGTTGCAACTGCAACATAAAAAAAAGACGTGTTTTCCAAGAAAAATATATGCCTTGAGTCTTTTTATCAGGAGGATCACAAGGTTCATTTTAATGTTGTGTGAGGAGGGGGTGGGGGGGAAATTCGTTATCTTATGATTGAAGGCCTTTTCATCGTTTCTGTCTCCTGGTATCTGATACCGAGCCAAGAACAGAGTGCAGGTGCCTGATGACTCTCCTTGAATGAAAATGAAATTAATGGAAAGCAGGTGGGTACTTCAAAGGCTCACTGCTCCAACGGTATTACCAAATGTGCGTGCAATCACCAACCTCAGCTGTTGTATCTCTGCCATGGTGAAGAGGAAGTTAGGATTGTGAATGGAAATAATTACTTAATATTAGAGATGCTGCAAGTACAGATAAAAGACAAGGGATCTGATGTGTTCCTCAGGAGACAACAATTGCTACAGGGTCAAATTGCAGATACAGTTTGTGCTTGAGCATTGGCATCCTTTCTAGCATAATGACAAAAGAGCATACCGGCATTTTTATAACAAAGCTATTGTGCTGTAAGTCACTGAACTAGATGCAGGCGTATTGTTACACTCCTAATAAAACCTTTTTTTTTTTTTTTATTGCGGCAATGTTTAAGCAATTTCACTGACCTATTTTAACACCTACAGATCAAATCAATGCTCCCAAGCAACAAAGGCACAGCATTCTTTAACGTTTGGATTTAATAAAATAATAATAATAATTAAAAGAAATACCCAACATGACCCAAAAATCATTTGCAAAATAGCTGGAAATGTTCCACAGAAAATGCAGTCGCAGCAATCTTTTATGTTTCTCCAGCAGATTACAGATGGGAAGGAAAGCTGTAGGACAACAAAACGCTGAATGTGTCAAATTCTCATCCGACTTCAGGAAGTGGTTTTATCATCATGTCTGACATTGAATGCACAATTTTAGCCGTCACAAAAGTCTTCAATGGTAACAACATGTTTGCTGAACCGTTGCTGCATTGTTCCATTCTAAAATCCTTTAGCACAAACACAGGGTATGTGAGGTATGCAAAGGCAAGCGGATGTTCTACCACGGCAGCCAATACGACTTTTGTAGTTTTTCCCTATGTTTTTCATCTGTCTTTTATTTGTATATTCCCTTTAGGAATGAGGAAGTATCAAATAAGTATATTGCAAAATGCAAGTCTTGCAACATCTGACAGCTGCAAAGTTAAAAGTTTTTTTTCTCTTGTTAGAAAAAGAGTGTTTTTTTCCCCCCCTCATAATTATGAGATCTCCTTATGTGATCTTGTGATGTCAGCTATCAAAATTAGTATAAAATCTTCACTGCACAAAACCGGTCTCTGTGGAGAACAGGCAGTTCTTTTGACAGAAAGAGTCCTATCTGGCCTAATTTTAAAAATTAGCAGCGAAACATTTGTCAGTTTGATCACAGTCTGTGCTTGGTACATGGTTTCAAGTGAAGATTCACTATCGCGCAGTAGATTTGACTTTTCCACCATAAAACACAGGACCAGACAGCAATATTAGTACAATTTTAGTTTGTTTAAGGCTGATGTGAAGTTTGTTGCACCATCACATGTATCTACATACATCGACTCAGAGGATGAAGTTCTAAGTATATAAGAGCATCCCTGGCTCTGATTCTGTGCAGCTAAAGGTTGCTCTCAGCGGGATGCCTGCTCCCTGGGCTTTCCTCCTGTGCTGCATAGTCACTGAGATCAATGCGCTCTTTCACCGTACTTCACAGGGTACATGGTGTTTCCAGCAGACACCAGACGCACACAGCAGTCACACAAAAACAACCAACCTTGCCTCACAACTTAGACTAATCTCTGTGGAATGTTTCATTGACAGACTTTCAAGGCATTGAGGCTCTCTGCTGGTCTGCCTTTTTTTAAAGCAGCAATTTCTGTCTCCAAAGAAAATCCCCTGGGATCAATCTGTAATTAAGGAAGAAAAAAAACCCTTAAGCTTAATATGACCAAAATAAAGTCTAAGGGCATGTAGCACAAATTGAAGCCATAATAAAACAAGGGGGTGATCCGAAAGACCAAAAGAATTTTGTCTTTAAAAAGTACTAGACAAAGTGGGACAGTGTGAGCTCAGAAGAATCTGACACCATCCTTCCACAAGGAATTTCTCCATTTTGTGCCACTTTGAAGCAAAAATCCCCTCATAAGGTATCAAAGTAAAAATATATACACTCTGAGGATATAATAAACGAGCCTGTCACATCGCAACACTGGTGGAAAAGATGCTCGTGGTGGTGTACTTGAAATTCTGAATATATAGTTTTATTAATCTCAGAAATTCTTATCAAAGGATGAAAGTTTCTATCATATTTTGTATGAACACAAGTTGCACAAAATGTAAATGACTGTTTCTGTGATGCAACTTCTTAAATAGGCATTTCAAAATTGTTCAAATGGAAGCAAAATACAATGTAGAGTTGTTAAAGAACCGAAGCCTCGGTCACGAATGTGTCCCGCTTTTATAAATGAGTCGTTGTGCAGCAGTGTGATGGAGCGCTCCATGTCTGTAGAGCCAGATGTGTATATATATATAAGAATGATATCATGTCCGTGTTGATGCGCTCTGCTGCATTCTCAACCGTTTCCCTGAAACGATCGCAACGAAGCTGCTCTTTGCACTTCATATTGACATTAACTTGTTTTTCAGGATCCTGTTTGAGAGGCAAGTGAATGTTGACTGTTACAACCATGAAAAAAAAAAGAAAAACTGTTGTCCTTTCTTTGGTCTGTGGCACACTGTGGCCATTGCCCCTGAAAGCCATGCCAAGGAAAATACTCACAAACTGCTGACTTTGATAACAAGGGGAAATCTGATCCTCTCTGCATTCACTCTATCGAGGCGAGCGGTAACCAGGCGGTTTGAAATCCCAGATGAACGTGTTTACTAATGACTTGTCTCTGAGAACATTTGTGTAAATGAGGGTCTCGGAGTGCAACAGCGCTTTGAAAGTATTCACAGACAACAGATACGCACCGCTGTGGCTTGCAGGGGGAGCTCAGCGTGTACCGTGTGCGTGTCTTTTGTGCATTCAGTGTACTACAAGTAGCAAAGGGGGGAATGAGGGGTGGAGGGGAGAGGATGTGTGTGTGGGTGTGTGTGTTTGGTGGGTGGAGGGTTTTGAACACTGTCCTAATTGACCTCAGTTTGATATTTCTTAGGGTGGGGTATACAGAACCACCACGTAAATAGAGAACTGTGTTGAAGGGGGGGGGGCATTATTTCATTCATATGAGGTCATATTGCATGTTACCAGGCAGTATTTCATGCTCATTGTTTATGGAAATGCCACTCAAAATCACTGCTCAGCTGCTCTTTATGCTACAGTAGGATCCAGTTTTAAAAAAAGAGCTTTTTTTTAATGTTTTGTTTTGTATTGTGTGGAGTGGATTGCATCAGCGGTTCTCTGTGACAAGATGCCCCTGTTAAACATTAGGCAATTTACCATCTGTTCAAGGTTGTTGCATTTTCCAAAGTTTTAAAGGCAAAGCGAGAACACAACAAGCCTTTGAAACACCTGCAGAAAAATCAAGGTCATGTTGTCCCTATCTATGCTTTTACAAGATGAGAAAAGAATTCGAGCCATTGAAAGTGAGATGTGTTATACAGTATGTCTGAATGCCTTTGCAGATGGTAATGTTGACTCTGGAAGCCTCATGGAGCTTTGGCTGCTGTAGGCCAGGAAACATCACTAGCACTAGGGCCATGTGGGACCTCTCCTTAAAAAAAAAGAAAAAAAAAAGAAAAAAAGTTTGAGATTTTTTCACAGCCCATTGTAAGCAATCAGGCAAATAGAAGCTTGCAGTCGTGCAGTGCACAGACACTTCTTTCCAGAAGGCAGAGAGCAATGCTCAGTCTACTGACAGACGAGCCAGCAGATCGACAAGAAGTCAGGACATATTCTCACAGCAGTAGCAGACGGTAACACCACGAGTGGGTCTTCTGAAGCCTACTTTCACTCTCCTGGGTGTGTGATTGCTCCTGAATGCACATTCAAGCTCCTCTACTGCTGGCAGTGAAGACCTGCAGATGCACTCAACGACAGGCTTGCTTTTCAACCCTGCATCTCTCTCAACACTCACACCAAAGCTGTACCCACGGGAAGAGGATACACATGTTTTATTGACAGAGCTACAGGTGGTTTGAGTTTGAGCTGCTGGTGGACTGGCAGAGTTTTTTCTTTTGTGATGAGCTGTGGCAAATTTGGAGCCAGTATGTTGCCTATTGTTGTGGCATGTTTGGTATTCATCCTGCTGGGCTCAGGGCATGCTCAGGTTGCCACACAGTCTCAGGGGCAAAGCCAGAGGCAGGGACAGAGGCAGGGGCAGGGGCAAGGGCAGGGGCAAGGGCAAGGACAGGACAGCTCTGCCACTCCTTGGAGGCAGGTGATTCAGTGGGAGAACAACGGTCGGGTGTTTAGCCTGCTGAACAGTGGAGCTGAATATGTCCCTGCTGGGACGGGGGCCCAGGACAGAGGTCCCAGAGTGGTTGTGGCAGATACTCGTTCACGCTCTTCCCGCAGACCTCAGGGAGGCAATGTCCGCAGACAGGCTCCATCAAGAGGATCCTCTGACACTGTCCGTGGCCAGGCAAGGCATCCTTTCGGCTTTGGGCAAGTGCCTGATAACTGGAGACAAACCGCAGGCAGCACAGGCAGCAGCCAGTTCCAGGGATCCTCTACCGGTCGTTTCCGCCCATCCACAGGCTCGTCCTCTTCATCGACGTCATCATCCTCATCCTTTTCTTCATCGTCATATAATGTACCAGCCTACCCACAGTTCCCATTTCCCCAACAGCCTCAATTCCAGCCAGTACCTTACGACCCTACTTTTGTGGAAGCACCAGTCAGGAGCTACGAGCCTCCCTTTCAGCCCGTCCTCGGTGGAGGCTACGGCGGTGGAGGAGGGTATGGTGTTGGACGGGGGTATACGGGAGGTGGATATGGAGGTGGTGTGGCCCCAGTGCTCCCAGGCTCTCCTTCTGACTTCACTGATGAAGGCTTCCGCTATTACCAGTCCTATGGCTACGGGCCCAATCCTGCGGTTCCTGTGGTCCCTGCACGTGCTGCCCAGCCGCCGTTTGCAGATGGTTTGGACCACAGATACACCCACAGCCTCTACAATGAAGAGTCTGCTCCTGTGGCCCCCATCGCCAATGCCAACCCGGCCCCTCCCATAATAGTGGACAGATCGGGAGCTGCCAGTCAAACACCAGTCAGGAGCCCTCAGTATGAGCAGTTCCCTCCATTTGGAAGGCCCCAGCCTCCCTTCTTGCAGCCCATTCCCCCAGGCAGGAGCTCTCCAAACTCTGCGCTTGAGAATCCCAGTCTGAATGCTGGGAGTGTGTACCGACCAGAACAGAGAGGTACAGTAAATGTTTGTTGTTGTTTTTTTTAGGAGGAGGGCTTATTTGTGAAATAACCTAAAGTATCTTGTTGGTGAGGACATTATTTTAACAAGTATTGATAATATTAGAAGAGGCTGAGACACATGAGTGGAACAGCAGCAGATGCAAATTTGGAGCCATGTGCTTGTTTTTTATGGAAATCCTGAAGCACTTAAAATATTTCACATTTTCAGTAGAAGCAGGGCACGTGTTCACTTGTGGGCCTCCATCCATGGTATTTCTGTCTCTAAAGCAAAAAAAAAAAAAGAAGAAAGAAAGAAAAGCTTGCCATCTGATCTCTGCTGTTGCTGCACGTATGAATTTGAAATATGTAAAACCCAGGGGAGCAGAATGCCCAAGTACACCTTATGTACTCATGTCATGTTGTTTTTTTTTTCCAATATTCTTCTTTCATGTTTGTCAGAAATCTGAAGTCATCAGAATGAAGCAGCTGTTTAAAATTGTGCCTCTTTTTTCAGTTTACAAACAAAGCAAAGTGGACACAAGGTTCATCTTTTCCCACTTGTGCGGTTATTGAAACCAGGTGCTGAGCAAACCCTGCCAATGAGCACACACAAGAACCACTGTGTTGCTGTGCGGTGTGTTCGAGGCTACAAGAAAGTCGACTGGTTCTCATGAGGCGTGCGGAGTTTGGTGAAAGTGGTTGTGACCTCATACGGGGGCTGGTGACAGGGGGGGTGTTGGTGGCTGCCTCGAGGGGTTGATGGCAGGAGAGGGGGGAAACGAGGGAGGGAGATACAGTACTTCACCCCTCCCTGAGGGGGAGGGAGACTGTGGAAAGTCCCTGTAACACATGGGGTCCATTGCTTCAGCTACAGGAAATCAAATAAATATTTAGTCAGAGTTCTTGGGGGGGAAGAATGAGGAGTGTCAAAGCATGCAGCACGTTGCCTTTACATATTTATTTGGCATTGCAGCATTTTTGACTGTTTTTAGCAATTGATCATTTTCATAACTGTGCTGTAGGGAGGAAGACGTTTCTCTTGAGCTTAGTGTTAATGTTGAGGGGGGTGAAGCTAAATGCAAACAACATGTGTGTCTACGTTCTGGAAGCTGTGCCTGCTCTGAGCCGAGAGGAGAGGAGGACTTTCAACAAGATTCTTAGACACTTAATGCAGGTTTATCATTTTTTTTTTGTTTTACTCAATAACCAGCCGTACTGTGCAGCAGTCTCTCCAGCGGTGCTTTGTGCATTGCAACGATCATTCATTAGACATTCTAGAGCTGGGAGCCATTTCTGCAGCACGAAAAGCCAACATGTGTGCAGATGCCTTAGTGCTCTCAGTAATCATTGTGATAAAGATTCAGCCATTGGGAGCTGTTAAAAAGCTGACGTTTTTATTGCACTGCTTCACAGCGAGGCATTAAGCTGTTACAGTATCGCAGTAACTATTGTGATCTATACATTTAAAATTTAGTTAAAAGTGACATCAGAAGACAAGTGTATTTATACTGCCAATTCTTAAATGCAATGCTGGGTGATGTCAGAAGCAGTAAAGCACAGAAGACACAGTTATATTTCAAAATAAATATCTATTTCAATGGCAAGGCTCCCCATTAAGAATTACAAATAAATTCAATCTGTCTAATCCTCTGTGCTCTACCAGGATCAGTGTATAACAATAGACGTAATCACAAATAGGAACCCTAAGAGCTTCAGAAGACGTGTCACCTTCATCCAAGAGGCTTCTTCAGGTTTAACTGAGTTCAGTTCAAAGTGGCTGGCTCCCCATAAGTCAGTAAGAACGGAAGACGCCACATGGATGAAGATGAAACGTCTTGAAGAACCAAAAGGAGAAGTCAGTTGATTTCTTCTGAAGCTCCTAGAATTACCATGACCAGGATGACTGAGAATCTACACAGGCATAGCTACAGATAGGGCTGGTATGAGTGGTCAGCATTGCCAATAGCAACAAAAATGATAGATAAGTACAATTACTATGTTTAAAACTGATTTTAGTGCACAACCCCTATCAGGTTGGTCTGATAAAGTTGTTTCGAGGATCACAGTATTTAGGACGTAACCTGTAGACAAAGCTACAAGGAGACACTAGTGACAGCAGACCATGAACGAAGACAGCGTCAGAACTACCACCACTACTACTACTAACCCCATTGCTTTTCATATTAGTTATTAAGGTCATTTTGATGGTAAAGAACTTGAGTTCTTTAAAGAACAAGGACCTCAAGCCATGGCAAACAACATCATTTCTAATACCCAGACCTGGACGGGGTGTTCTTCAACCTTAGAAACCGACAAAGAGCAGATTCTGATCAAAAATCAGTCTGATTTCCAAACTGTATTCAAGGGGATCAACCAAACTGATTGACTGGGGGGAGTTTGCTCTGTGTGAGCACTGCAGGAAAGAAACTCAGCTGCACTGTGTAGCCTCTGAGTGCCTTCTACTTTCGAAGCCTCGGCGTTGCGGTGATTTTGTGAACGCTGAATTATTTTTAATGAACTGTGAAAAGTCTGAAAAACTGTCCTAAATGTACCCTTTGCAGCACATTGTCATTCCTCCCACCGTTCATATATTCCCCCTACAAAGCCACCAGCAGTCATAGGTGAGAATAATTACACCGTAATTGGCATAGATTAATTCATTAAGGCACCACTGCAGTTATTTTGCTCCTTAGTTTTACCACTATATCTTTCCCTAAAAGAAGGTTGTAAAGCCTCAGTTTTGCTGAAATAAATCTGTAATATATCAACTGACCACCAAAAGTATGCTGGTTGATAATCATGGAAATACATCGGACATTTATTGCGAGAGAAAGTAGTAGGTACAAATGAACTGACGAAGGAAGCGGTGAATGTGGAGTTAATCAGCAGATGCTGTTGTGATTTTTGATTTTCCATTTTAAAATGAGCTCACTGAATTTCAAGTGTTCTAATCTGTCTGCAGCTAACAGCCTTAACATGGGAATATCTAGAAATGGAGCCCTCATGTCTTTTATTACGCTATATTAGATGGTATAAAAAGCCTGGCAAGATTCAGTTTCTTTTCTCCATGCCCCACTTAGGGTGTAATGTGTGGCTTTGTCACATGCTGTTGAGAGCCGATCAGCTTTGGCTTCTCAATACACTTTATCCCTCTGAAAGAGACCCACTTTCACATTTCAAAAGATTAGAGGGCAGAGAACAAAGCCTTCCTAGGGTGAGGAGAAAAAAATGGGTCTGAGAGTGCTGTTGGAAAACCTCTGTGTTTCACACTGGTTTACAGTGTTTACATGGTCTGCCCCAGGAAGCTTCCCCCCTGTCCTGTATGTCTGCCTCGGAGAGAGATGTCGGATGGGATGTTTACACAGCACCCACAAAGGGAAAGCCCTTATTTAAACTTGTAGCAGGAGAGGAAAGACTCACCTGGATGTTAAATAGTGAGCAAATATAAAATAGGAAACTTTCTATCTGGTTTCCTTAAACAGGCTGTAACTGAAGGCCTTCATCCTCGTCCAAAATCAAAAGATTTTTCCCAGTGGTTCTGTTTTCTTACTCTTCCAGTTAATGCTGCGTACTGCAACACAAATTACAGGTTGCTTTTAATTTTTTGTGATTTTATTTAAAGTTCCAGGCTCAGAGGTCAGACGGTTTGACTTTGTGTTGTTTGAACAAGCTCATATTAAAGTGTGTCTGGCCTCTGTGAGCTAAACAGAGAGAGGTGATAAGGCAGAAACCCTTGCTGCTATGGCCTTTGCTGTGAACAGGACAGGCAGACATTCACTCTGACAAGTCATGCCTGCTTTTTCTTTGTCTTTCCTCAGGTATTCTGACAGACGTGGTCAGTGTCCCACTTAAAAAACAGCAGCAGTGTGAGATCACTGTTGTTTTGCCCTGGCACATACATTCTCCCTCTCTATGTCTCTGTCTGGCTCTCCTGCTGTATCTCTGTGTACCTTTGCCTTTCTATATCTCTTCATCTCTGTCACTTGTTTGCAGAAACCAAAGTATTAAAAACACAGGCTGCATTGCAATAAGCCCCTCTGTGGTACTGTAGCTCACATATTTCCAAGTTTAGCTTCGTCCCCAGCAGATATGGCCGGTCTGTTTATTATGTTAAAGGTTAAGCTGAAGTGACACGTTCATGTTAAGACCGGTGCCATGGAGGATCACATCACATTAGCCAAGAAGGCAAGCAGTTATTGGTGTAATTTTTGTCCTGTAATAACAAGGTGCATTTAGTAAGAAGCCAGAAGTAAGCAACACTGAAAGTCAGTGTATCGCAAGAATGGTTCTACATTTCCTTTTTGATTTGGGGATTTTGCACACAAGAGATCCAATTGTAACCCTTGTGCTCTCTCACCCTGTACTAACCCCCGTCTGAGAGGCCTGTGGAGCAAAAGTGTCTCATTAGAAAGCCATGATAATAATCTGGAATGCACGGTAATTAGTGGCCAGTGGGTCTCTCTAGGGTGACCCAGTCTTGAACTGCGGGCCCTGTCGCCGAATTGCTGCCCATCACATCCTCCATCAGCACCACCATATTTACCGGGTCATAAAAAATGATGACAAATGTGCGAATAAGCACATTGACAGTGCTGACATTTGGATTACTTATGGAATATGAAATTGCAATTGCAGCACCATTAATGCATGTTGGCAGCTTAAACTACACAAAGTGGCATTGTTCAGATAAGGTGTAGCGGTAACTATCCCCTTTGTTTTCAAAATTTGGAGCACGCTTGTGAGCAAATTACTGTTGTAAGGTTGTGCGATATTGGATAAGTGGAAGCATGATGATGTCTGTCCTTCATTTCAGGTTTGCCTGACCTCGTTCCTGATCCCAACTATGTCCAGGCGTCCACGTATATCCAGAGAGCCCACATGTATTCTCTGCGCTGTGCTGCCGAGGAAAAGTGTCTGTCAAGGTAAATCCAATTCAGGATGTCCTTCACTTGAAGTCATATATTGCTTTGCTTGTCACTGGAGTTTTTTCTATTGAAAACAATAAATTGTGTTGCCTTTTTTCAACCCTGTCGTTGGCTTGAGTCCTGTCCAGGTTGTACCTGTTGGATTAACAACAAAATGTTAATTATTACAAACATTCTTTATGAGCTGCTTCCTTTGGGCAGCATTAACCAGCAAGTGAACCAAAATTCTAGCTTTGCCTTCAGGATTCTATTCTTCTGTGCAATAATATCAGAAAGAAATAATGAAAAAAAAAAAAGTTGACAAACAGCACAAGTTATGTGAACTAAATCCTGGTCACCTTCGGGGATACAGCCTGTCTTTTCATTTCTCTGTGCTGGTGGAAAGCATCCCCTGAGCCTCGGGCCGGGGCTCTTTGACTGCCTCTGCACTAAGGACACCATTGAAATGATGGAAGTGTGTTGTCCCTGTGGCTGCTCTATTTGCCCTCTTCCCATCACAAGCACAACCATCCCTCAAAGCCCTTTCATATCCTGCCTGAGTTTGCAGCAATCACCCACAGATGGGCTGTTGTAATTTGCCATACACTCCAATGTCAACAACAGTCACAAGATGAATGGCTTAGATCTTCAGTGGTATTGTGAACTCGAGGTTGTGCCTCCTTTTTTCACACAAAAAAGTGAATCGTGCAACAGAGTGTATACCTCGCCCTGTTCCCTCTCCCCATGTTGAAACTCTGTGTTTGGAGAGATGGTTGTAATCTGTAGAATGAATTATTTAGTAGATATGCTCCTGCCTCGAAGCCTTCCAGCTCTGCACTTTTTTCTCCCCCCCTTGTCTTAGTTATGAGAAACAGACATGCCGACATTCTTTTTGCAACGACTTGGGCAGTTCCCCTCATCATTTTTTATCTTCATGTATGTTTGCCATTCAGCTCTGCCTATGGCGCCGAGGCCAGTGACTATGATGTAAGGGTCTTGCTGCGGTTCCCACAGAGGGTGAAGAACAAGGGCACGGCCGACTTCATGCCTAACCGGCCACGTCATACCTGGGAATGGCACAGCTGTCATCAGTAAGTCCTTAATACGTCGCAGACTTCACTCGGTCAGCTAATCATGCTATGCTTGCCATATTATCAGCTGCTAGAAACCTGGTTAGCAAACATTTAATACATGTATTTCTTTCTTTTTTTACTAATGTCTGCACAAATGATCAATGATTCCCTGAGCCAGCCTGACTAATGCCTCTATACAGTTCTGAAGTGGGATGGGCTGCTGGTTGTGGAAATGCTTTTTCCCCGTTTCAGTTTTTTCTTTCAACTGCATCCTCATTGTTGCCTTAGATGGGACTCTCCAGGATAGTGTACCAACACAATAGGTTTAAGGTCCCATATTGTAAAAATCCAATTTTTGTGGTTGTTATAAACCTGCAGGTGTAAGTAAAAGCCTTTAAGATATGAAGACGTTCACTTCTGCCGTTTCTCGAGCCACCCCCACAAATAGACGCTCTCCCACCTTTACAAGTCAGTAAAGAATTTTACTCAGCCGCAACATTCCAACTGAGGAACCATTAGTTATCTTGCTCAAACTTTGTATAACCCTGTCCCCCTCGCCGCCCGCTGCTTCCAAAGTGAGCCATTCAGAAAGAGCAGCTGCCTCGCAGTCCACAAGGTTTAGTTACTTCCTCGAGCTGCTTCTGCAAAACTCTAAAATGTCTCCAACAAGAACAAAGCCACACAATGTTCTGCTGTTGGCTGCAAGAGTGAACACAAGAGTGACTTCATGTACTCCCAGCATGCGAGTACATGAAGTTACTATTTGAAGCCAATGAACAGTGACTGGATGAGTTGCTGTGTTTTCGTGTTGCCTGTTGTATTTCAATGCAACTGAAGCTTGGGCAGTGTTTACACCTGTTGGCTTCTCTCCTGCTCTGTGTGCTCACATATATTGCATTTTAATACAGACAAATTCCTAATTCAACTGTTCTCATGTACATATTTTTGTATCTGTGTCAGACGACAGACTGTGTATGATGTAGTGACTGAAATACAGCACATTAAGACTTCATGTCACATCAGAGCCATTTCCAAGATGCCCGTCTGCACCGCTAAGCTACTGATTTTACAATCGCACCATTGTCTGACAAACCCACCGTACGTGATGCATTCTGAAGACATGGAAATTTTCATTAACTTCCTGAGAAAGGTCACAATATGGGACCTTTAATTATTTCAGCTTTGATTCAAAAGATCAGAATTTGTCCTTTTTATGTGTGGCCATCTAAACGATACCAATAATAACAACAGCAACAATAGCTAATACTCTTTTGTCTTGCTTGTTTTTACCAATGGAATGAAGACAATTAAGAAACCAAAATAAGAGTCATATCAAATTAAAATGTACTTTTTATGAAACAACCAAAGCAGCAGCACATATTACATTAAAGTAACCTCTATGTTTTCCAGTAGATTTATCTTACTACCGTGTCAATTGCTGGAAAACACTTTGTAGACATACAAGTCTCACTAATGACTGTAGGACTGTATATCCAATTCAGAAAACAACAAATCACGTGCCTTGATTGTCACGGTGTCCTATGTGCTCTGTGTTGTGTGCAAAATGTGAGTCACATTGCAACAAAGGACAAGACTGACTGACAAAGTATACATGTATTTCAGTTTCCTGGCCACGGAGGAGAAAGGCTTAAACCGGTGGAGTTCATTAGATACCAGGACAATACAAACAGTTCTCCTGTTCTATCTTTCTCTGTGCACCGATTTGAGTTGACTTAGCAAACCACTGGTGGCTCAGATGAAACGTCTCGGGGGACTGATGATGAGGTGGTACCATTATTGTTCTCTGACATTATACTTTATTCCGTGCAGGCTGGCTGGCTTTTATCTCGGTTTTAACGTGTCCACCCACTGACGCTAGAACCAGGCTCTCCTTTACTATTCTCATCTTGGAGGAATGTTGACCGGACCGTTAGGAGATTGGCAGTGTTGTTGCAGCTTGACATCAGCCTACATTTACACAGTGGTTCCCAGGAGGCAGAAAGCCAAGGCAATCATTCCACTGGCTGTGTGATCAGAATGACAAATCAATCAATTTCTCCTGTCAATCTGTGACACCAGATCACACAGCTGCTAAAGTATCATGGCGTGGATGTGGGTTACTGGGACAGAGTTTTTGGTGACAAAGAAATCTCTTTAGGGGAAGAAAATGTCTAGCCCAGATTCTCACAATAAACTTTCCTGCCCTACATTTTTGTCAAATAAGCTATGTAGTTGACAGTTTTGCTTTTCATTACATTCACTCCTATCTTTTATTCCGAAGTATCAAAAGAAGGGAAGGGAACAGAATCCTCCTGAGTATTGTGGGCTGTGAAAATGTTGGAATTCTGTATGTTTTTAATACAAATTAGGACAAAGAATTCCACGTAGAACTTTTTTTTTATGCCAGTCAGTGTGGGAAGCATGGGAAGTCATTAAAAGTGTTTGGTGTGAAGTTAATAATAGTTCTTCAACTGATTTAATTTTTTTTTATCTCACTCCCATATGCGACAACTTTATGAAGCCACAGATAAATATTTGTGTAGGTGCTTGGACATTTGGACAGGCAAATGTCAGGCCATCGCCAAAAGGTTCTCAAAGACCCTACTGTAGTCCCCTGTGTTTTACAATCTAAGCTATGATCCGAAAAAAAAAAACCTCAAAGTCTTGTTTGTTGCAACACAAGTGGAAAATGACTCACAACTATGAAGAAGGATTGGAATGTTTTGTACGTTACGATTACAAGCTATTCTTGTTAAATCCCCCATGTGTCCTTCCAGCATTACATTCTCTATAGTTGACATAGTCTTTGAGGGGATCCAGGAATCCGAGGAGGCAGGGGACCCTTCCAGGCACCTCGTTGTCCAGCTCCTCCCACTCTCAATCTTTTTTTTTTTCTCTGCTTCCTGCACTCTTTCTTTCTGTTTCTCTCACACATACACACATAAACTGCAGATAATCATCTCAAGACTGCCACTGAAATGAATGCCAGTTTCAGGAACACAAACAAAGACTGTGTTTCAGCCTTCCAGGCCCTCAAGTTCCCTCCTCATTTTATACACAAATGTGTGTACTCACACATGCGTTGCTCAGACTGCGATGTGTACCCGTGTGCCCCCAATAAAATAAGCCCATAAACAGACACAGTCATGAATATTTGTGTGTCAACAGAGACAAGAGTAATTTATGCCCAGAGTTACAATAAAGATAGTGTTCAGCCTCAGATAAGAACAGACAGGTTTCTACCTGAGAGCAGCTCCTAATTGGTTGCCTCTCCTATGGAAAAAATGAGTCCTTGAATGGTCACTTGCTCCATCAGTGGAAAGTACCCACTTTCCCTTCCAAGTCATCCTTCAATCTTTAATGACTGTTCCAGTAAAAGCTGTTGCTGTGTTGAAACATGGGCCATGAAGTAAGGCGAAAGGGCAATATTTATATAGTCTGACTTTGTCTGACTGTAAGAGATCCAGTGCTTACCTCACCGGTAACAACTAAAGTCAACACCACTTTAGTGTACTGTATAGAGCAATTAAGGAACTCAGCAATGATGAAAAGAAAACATTACAATTACTACACATTACACTTTAAGACGTGTTTAAGTCCGGTAGTGTACAATTTAACCATGCTGCCCCGTTGCCCCTGACCTTTTTTGTACACTGGGTAAGAAACGGGGTTCACACTGGACAGGTCTCCAGTCCCAGTAGCACAAAGAGACAGCCATGCACATTTAAACTCACATGTTGAAACAATGTAGAACCACCAGTTAACCTACCTGCAGGTCTGAGACGGGACCAGAGCAGCTGGAGAATAACCAAGCAGACACAGCAAGAACATGCGAACTGCAACAAAAGGCTCGCTGTAAGGTGACAGTGCTAACTACTGCACAACTAATTTGAAAATAAATAATTTATTAATGAATTTATACACATCAGTTTAATCAGATAAACCTATTGCTTGCTTATTAGCTGGCTCCTGGCCTCGTATCATTTTGCAAAAGTGTCTCCCAGACAAACCAAGCTCGGCATCGGTGGTACAGAGCAGTGATTCTATTCTCGAAAATAGAACTATTCTGACGCGCACACACAAGTACACGGGAAACACATTACATTTGTGAATGTGGGAAAACAAAACAAACAGAAACCGCAAAAATGGAAATAGAGGGAATGATGATGTATATTTTTATAACTACTTCATATATGTGTGTGTTTTAATGACTCTGTTGTTGCTGCGCATAAATCCATCAAAATAATGACCAGAAATAGAGCTTTTCTCATCAGCCGGGAATTATGTTGTCATCGTTCTCCATGCAAATATGCACTCGCTAGCATAAACCACAATTATTTGCACATGATGCTTGTAAAAGTGAATAGCATCCTGGGTCACTTTGACATTTGGGAGAGGACCAAGTCATATAGTAGTTAATATTGCAGATGATTTCAGCAGCTCACTGACAGAGTCACTCACTGAGAGTCACTTGGTTCATATTCCACTTCAGTTGTGATGATCGGCGGTGATGTGCAACCATGCTTCATAAGCTGCTGAAGCTGTGCAGACACACACAGACACATTGCAAGCAGCACACAAATGCACTGTGATTTACACACACACATGTACAGATGCACACGCAGACATGTGCATGCACGAATAGAAATAACCACACGTGCAAAACACACGTAAACGCATCTACACCAATTCTCACTCTCACACAGACAAACACCTCTGAACTCCCTGATTGGTACAAGCTAATTAACAACATTCATACATCATTAGGGTGTTAATGCCTTGCTTCAGCAATACTTTACTGTTGTCATTAATTAGTATCCATTATCCATTGATGATTTATGAAGTGTTCAGTGAAGGTGCAACATCACTTACAAAAATGTTAACAGCTGAGGTCAAGAAGTTGAATATACAGTCTATAAATCCACAGTTTGTCTGGAAAGTTGCACCAAAATTTAAACCAAATAGCAGCTTAACGACTTTAATGAAGCGGCTGTGAGTTCTGCTTTGATGCTTTTGCATGAGACACTCAGAACAGATGCACAGCCAAGATGTTTGTTTGTTTTTTTTCTTTCACTTTTGACTACATCCTGTGATTTTTGCTGGTTCTGACAGGCATTACCACAGTATGGATGAGTTCAGCCACTATGATTTACTCGAGGTCAGCAGCGGCCGTAAAGTGGCCGAGGGACACAAGGCTAGCTTCTGTCTGGAGGACACCACCTGCGATTTTGGTCATCTGAAGCGTTACGCCTGCACCGCTCACACTCAGGTACCGCGGCAACACGAGCGGGGATTGCGGCAATCAATATTCACTTGGTGGTATACTCTTGATACACTGCCTTCTACTTCATGTTTTATTAGCTTACCGTGCCAATATCCACCCACTGAAGTTATGCTGTTATAGACAACTGCAACTGCGAAAATCCATTCAGCTTAGTGAATTCATATCCAAGGATTGACATGGTGGTGAAAATTGTAGCAAAAATTCCAACAATAATTTAAGTGGCCCCCAGGAAATATAAGTTGTTGTTACATTAACAGAGGGATAGTGTATTTATTAACTTGCTGATATATATATTACAAGATCTTACATTTACTTTTTGACCGATGGAGTTGTTTTCGACCCGGATCAGTATTCCTCACGAGCCTCTCTCCTTCCCTCTGTTCCTCCAGGGTCTGAGCCCGGGCTGCTACGATACATACAATGCGGATATTGACTGCCAGTGGATCGATATCACCGACATAAAACCTGGAAACTACATACTAAAGGTAAGAGTCAAGTGAGACTCTGACGTGCGTGGACATGGCTAGTTTTGCGGACAGCGCAAGGTCACATTCCGTGGAGTGAGAGCGGGTCAAGGCCACCAAAACAAATTGATCCAGGTCATAAAGTTTTTAGGTTCCTTGTTATGTGGACTTTTTCCAGGTTGCAGCTCCTCGTGGCTCGGTGCCACCGGTTTCCCATCCATCATATTGTCTGTACTCATGCATATTTTATTTGGTCAATATGGCTGCAAGATGTCCACACGGAAAGATCTATACATGTTCAGAGTTATTCATTTAAACGGATTTTCACTTGAGGTAATGCCAATTCTACTTGCCTTCATGCATGTTTCTTCTCTTTTCTTTTATCTCCAGCTCCAGGTCAATCCCAAGTTCTTGGTGCTGGAGTCAGATTTTACCAACAACGTGGTCAGGTGTAACATTCACTACACAGGACGCTTTGTCACAACAACCAACTGCAAGATAGCACAGTAAGTAAGACTGAATGTGTCGTCACAGCATCGACAATTGATTTAATAGTTTCATTTAAAACGTTCTTAGAAATCTGCTTTCCAAACTGAGAGGCAAACTGTAAATCACGGTTTGTGTCGTTTTCCCACTGCTGAGTTACACCGAAGCACATGACAGGGTGGCGGCTAAATGCAGTTATCTGAAGAGCCTCACAGTGTTTTGAAGTACTTAGTGGACTTAATGGGTTCCTGGCTGAAATATTTGATGATTTAATGAATTATGCTCTCACTCTCCCGTTAAGATTAACAGCCTCTGAAACTTTGATATTTTCCCTCAAAGGGAGATGTAGGGGTGTTGAACTTGCTAATAGCGCTATTAGGAAGTGTATCATTGCGCTCTGAATTACCATCATATCCTCTTGAAAAGACTTTCTATAAAGAGGTTCAAGTGCTCTGGCTTTGTTCACTGGTGAGGTGAAACAAACACTTAAAAAATATGTTAGACAAAGCATTTCTGGAGTAAAAGGTTCCATACCGCGACTCTTTTTAACAAGTTAATGTAAGTCTCTCATGCCGGCGATATGCGCATTTTAAGTTTCAGCTCAAAATACTGCAAGGATTGTTCACTCTGCCAGCCGTATAATACCCCTGGTTTTAGCCACGTTCCAAAACAACAGGCTGTTCAGTGTCTGGAGCTTTAACTCCAACTGCTGCAGAAGGAAGGCCGCAAGCACAAAGTTTTATTCTGAAAGTGCATCTTGTAACACTACTCTAAGAAAGGATTACTGTAATAATGAACAAAGATCCACACTGGAGTCATGTTTTATGTGCAGAATTAGGGTAAATTAGTTCCCAGTAAGTGCTAGCTTCTCCAAAATAGAAGCAGAAATATTAAACTCTACAAATCTAAAGGTTTAAATTCTACTTTTCACCTCACTGTAAGTCAAGCAGCCCTTCTGACTGCATGTATAGAGGTTACACTGTAGTATTTGGCCCTCTGTGTGAAAGCTGATCTTGGCAGCAGAATTAGACTTACCCTATAGGGTAATGTTCACAGCAAGATGTGGTGCTACAATAAAGACTCGGCCTTACCTCAGCTACTCTATTATAGGCCACAGTGGATGAAATATGGACCCATCAGTCTCTGTCTCAAAAACCAATCCTGAACATGCGCTGTTTTTATTCAGTCTATGTAAACAGAACAACCTATCTGTCTTATGTGGAATTAGTTTGTTTAAACTAAACTGAAAATCTGTGTTTTTCATCTGACCATTCCTGACGTTTCTCCACTGATGCCAGCGACCCGCTCGGCAGCACCAGAAAACAATAGATATTGTTTAAGGAGGTGTTAAAGGTTTTTCCATAATGGGTTTGAACCTTTCAGTCTGAATTTGTACAACATATATTCTGCCTTTAACAACTTAATCTTGAGAAGAAGCCAGCAAGTGAGCGAATAAGTCAATTTTTATTGCTTTCAATGAAAATTTCCTCTTTAATTAAGCCACTTTTGTAAAAACAAACAAAAAAAAGGAACCTTCTTCCTACTTGAACACATTCAGACAAAGCATAAAGCACTTGTGTAACTCTCCCACGCTTATAAAATCCTTATCTAAGAAACTAATCATACATGAAGGTCCTAATTATAGATTAATGAGCATGAAAAAGATACAGCCGCCAAAGAGAGGCATTCATGGCACTGGTCACTTGATAGTTACACTGTGTAGGCCACCTGAGAATTTCTCCACCAAAGGCATTCTTCATATGACCACAGCATGAGCTAATGAGTAGAGAAAACGCATTAAAACAAGTTGGACAAAAAGGATTATTTTAGAATTAACATCAGAAAAAGGTTCTGTTCTGGGGAAACATCAGTAGGGTTGGGAGTAAAGTCCGACAACAAACCCAAAGTGATTGAACACCAAAAAAAAGTGGACAGAGTGTCAGTGATGTAAAGAAATATTGGACCATGTCTGGAAAAAGAACCAATATTTCTGTTTATGAACCAGATGAAAACATTACTAAGGTGAGTAGTGGCACTTGTTGCTGTCTGCATCAATATAGGAGGAACATTTCAGCCTGTCTTCATTTAGTACGATGGACCGTTGTGTAACATCAAACTATAGTAGACAGCTGGTTAAACTGGTGGTGAAATCAATCATTCGTTACTGTGAATTTCAAATGGTAAATGTGCCACCATTTTAATGTTAAACGGCACCTGTGTAGCAGCAATAACCAAGGCAGGTTGGCAAACGTTCTGTAACAGTCATTACAAGGAGAAGCGTTCCTGACATTGTGACTTAAGCTCACAATAACAACAAAAGCAGTCTAATGTTCCAATAAAAATGCTCTCACTGATTGGTCGGCGATTTGAAGTCATGAAATGAGCCACCACAGGGAGGCAAATAAAAAAGGTGGATACGTCTGTCATCTCTGTGATCTGCTTTTTGTGTTTGCAGCTGTAAGCGCTGTGCCGCTGCTGTTGTTCAACCATTCTGGAACGACCACGTAACAATATTAGGACAATGCGCAAACACGAGTAGACTGATGTTGTCCAGCCGCCGTCACAGCAATCCACTGCACAGACTGACACGACGCAGCAATTAAGCGCAGTTAAATGATGGCACATTTATTACTCAAAATGCAACTGAGGGTGCAAAATATTAAAGTACAATGCGTGCTATTGCGCCAGACATGGAGTGGAAGCAAAAGAACAGAGGAAAGAAATCCTCACTGTAGGATGATGGTAATTAACTACTTTACAGTTTGAACAGTGCACTATTATGACATAGTTCCGATTAGAATCCGATTTTAAAACCCGTCACTGAGTCCTAAGTGTCACAGATCCACCTCTAACAAAAGTATTGTTTGTTGTGTGTTTCTCTTCCAGGTCTTGATCAGGCACTGGAAGGCTGCCACACTAGAGTGACCCTGATCGCTATTCCATTGAAATGTGAATGGAATCCATTTGTTGTTGGTTCATTGTTGGTGTTGTTTGTCTCTACTTTTTTGTGCTGTTCTGGGATCTGGGGTCCACAGCAATCAAGGGTTCCACTGGCACTGAGAATGTGGGGTTTTTTAAAGTGAACATGCACGCACACACACACACACACACACACACACACACACACCATTGCGTAATGCTTATTTCACGTCAATATTCCAATAATGAACCAACAGTTCACACCCCTGCCATCTACATTGTAATATCGTCCTGCCAACTACGTTTCTCATATTGCCTGGTTTGGTTACATGCTAGGAGGACACATCATTGACTTTCAAAAGAGGTGTTTACTGTATATCCACACACACACACACACACACACACACAGAGTGGCTTTGTTTAAATTATAAATAGCGTGAAATGGTGCCTGTGCAGAGAAGAGTGGTACCAGATGAGTCAGGGTTCAGCTGCAATCCAACAAATAAAATTAGGGGACAAGGTCTTCCCAGGTGCATTCATCCATGCAGTGTGGGGACAGACAGAGATGCCCAGTGACTCAGAAGAAGTGTAATGTGTTAGTTTTTTTTTTTTTTACCCTTTCTCTCTCTCTCTTCACTGCCTCGGTGGGTCAGGCTGGGATACTGTGATTCTCTGGGCGCATCCTGTTTAATGTTGTGTTAACAGCAAGAAGAAGACAGCAGGTCATATTTGAATTTGTCAACATCAAATTGTAATTCAGCAGAAAGACAGACTGTCAGCACTGGACGCTGCACGCCGCTAAATCCTTGCATATTCACATTGTGTCCCCATTCTTCCTTTCTTATTTCAGTAAAACAGGAACAGGAAGCTCAGCTGGCAGAAAAAGGGTGCTTTCCAGAAAACAAGACTCTCAGTATATATATGTAAGCTGTATGCTTACACTGTCTTGTGGTCTCTTCTTCAAGTACCAACACTGGTCAGGTGGCACATAGGTCATCTACACCTTTTGAAGAATGTATATACCAATATTCCACTGATGCATGACTTTAATGATGGAGATTATTTTGTTGTAACTGATTGTACTTTGTTTATCCATTTTGACCTGTTACTGTAATTGTGAAATGCAATGAATTTATATATATTTTTTCTTGATAATCTGAATTATTCAAATAGTATGTATTGTTGGAAAAAAAAAAAAAGAAAGAAAAAACACTACTGCCAAAATTTAGCGTTATAATGCAGAGTGCAAGAAAGCCGTCTCTACCTACCTCTCCAGTTGAGCTGAGCTGTTGTTTCCAATGGATATCCCTGCAGTGGTCTACTGTGGCCTCCTACCACTCGATATTTAACGAGGCTTAAAGTTAGAATCCTTAAGATTTCCGTCCTGGTTGATATGGCGACATCTGTTGTGAGTTAATGCTCAACCTGTTCTCATTCCCAGGACGTCAAAGACAAGCATCTTTTCAAAGCCACTGGGCGTCTCAGAGACACGTACAAGGTGTGTCCTTTGGCGTTTGTGCCATCCACATCAATATTCAGCGCTGATACACGTATAGGAGATTTTCCACTTTAAAAGAGACTCTCACTGAGCTTGGAGGGATGATAATGGTGCAGGTTGCAGGACATTCACGACTGGTGTTTGACCATTGTGGGTTTTTTTTTTTTAACTAAGTTTCCTTCTGTTGTGTGACTTTAAAAAGTTTTGTTTTTGCTTTCTATCCACTTTTGTCTTCACCCAGAATTTGGTTAAAAAAGGTCACGGTTTGGGTTAAAATACACCCTTTCACTATATTAACCAAATGCAGACGACACCAGCAGAGAATATTTGGCCACAGGCTTACGGTGTTTATTTCTAATGTTCATCGTCTATCAAACTAAGTTGAAAAACTTTGCTAAAGGGTAAACAGTATGATGCCAAAGCGGCGGTGTGTGACAAGGTGGGGTTGAGACTCGGCTCTGATTCTACAGGTCCTGTGGGAAAACGAGCATTACTTGAACAGTTTGCAGAAATACGACAGAGGAAACGGTGGATCCACAAACAAACTCATAGTATTTTTTAGCATAGAAGTCATTAATAGTTGGCATTTTTAAATCATGCCATGAACAACCACGACCTGACTATATGCTCCACTATATGTAGCATAGTGTGGAGTGTGGAGTGGTTTTATACCCAACAGTGTGCCACATTGTGTTTGACCCATTACTCCCTGCAATATTTAAAAACTGATCTGCCCTCAAGGAAATACCAAAATTCTATTTTCTTGTTTTGCTGATGCATCTTTGATGATTGATTGCGGTTAGAGTTATTCCAAATTTCCTTTGACTGCTTTACGATAAAAGCCTTCCCCCCGTATTTTGCCAGTGGAGCACTTTCATTGTGAAGCGGCAGCAGCAGCAGTAAGAAATGTTCTCTTAACAGGAACTTCATGCAGCAGTAATATAGTGTAAAGAGAGTGAACAGTAAACTCTGAGGATGTTGAAAGTGAAATAAAATTACTAGCAGTAACGCTGGATCACATGCATGCGTTGCTGCCTGTGCATGCGTGTAATGGCAATTTGAATCGAGCGTGGAACAGCCGACCCCGCCTTGATCAGTTAATACTACAATATGGAGAGGTAATTATTGATTGTAAACTGCTTCAATGGCTATTGCACAAAACACCCTGACCGTAAACAGTGGCTGAAATTGGGTTTTTACAACATGAACATCTTAAGGATTGTTACTTTAATATTCCTAAATGTCATTACTGAACTTTTTTCTCTCATGGCAGTCTGAGCTCTCTGTGTATCAATATGCGTGTATTGATCAAAGCCGTGATAAAGCAGCAAATTTAGTTTGTTAGTGTTAAATTTCTATATATTTTTTTTAATGGGCATTTTGTTTGAACTGCAGAATAGGAATAGTCTTTGGCATTCAATTGTTTGGCCATAACTGTCTTTCATTTTGTACGATAAATAGTCAGTTCTTAAATCTTTGGTAGCTTGTGATCATACTGTACACTGACTGAGAAAGATGCAAGAACATGTGATTCTGACATTCAGCGGAACAACAGCGCAGGAGTAGGTGACAGTTATACAGGATCTTTGACATGTTTTGATGCAAAGCTGTATTTTTCTAACAGTGAACACCTGTCAAAAATGTCTTATACAATAAATACATTTACATGTCTGCTGTGTGTGCAAAATGCAGTACGAATGCCGTGCACTACTCACACCGGAGTGCCTCACAGTGCAGCATATGAGCCCATATCTGCAGGTTTGCTCAGAATATGTATCAGTAGATCCAAAGGAAATGCTGCATGACAGGTGTGACAAGTTACTGAAATCATCCCTTTCATAAAAGATTAGGTGTGATATGTTTAATGCATTGAGGCATTTTTTCTGGGAGCTGTGTGTTACTTTGTCATGCATGATTCAGGCAGGGATGCAAATCTGACCTTTACAAATACAGAAGAAAAATACACACTGCATATAAGACGCCCTATAAACACCAAACTGTGAATGCGACTGCATGGTGGCAGCAAATGAATCGGTCACGTTGTCGTCAAGTTGCTGACATGTTGGGATGTGTGGAGACACTCACAAACAAATCTGATTTGGTCACATCATTGTCGAGTTTAGCCTCTTCGGAAAGTGGCTTGTTGCAGATGAACATTTGACATTATCGGACTTGTTTCAGCTGCAAACAGAAGCCAAACACATTATGCATGAAGAGTCGTTCCAGGAACACAACACCACATTGCGACATTGAGAGAAGAGCGAATAATGTTGTTATAACTTAATGCTGAACTTCTTTAAAAGTGATACTATTTGTTTTACCAGTGAGGAGGAGATCGAGGCACTTCTTGGTTCGTTTTGTTTTTTTAATTCCCATTTCAGTTGAATACTTCTCATAGCCAGATGGTAACAATGACTTGAAAGGAGTTGACAATAATGCATCATGTTGTCTTGTAGAACTGTCGGCTAACGAGCGGCACTCGTGGAGCGATTACAAGCTTCATCACACTTTTATGACTAAAAGTCTAGATAACATAGTCACTTTCAACACAAGCGAGGACAAAATTAACAAGCTGTGCACTAATGACGTCCTTGTATAAAAGTATGAGGATCAAACCTGCAAAAATCTGAGGAACAAGAAGGAAGGAATGAAAGAAGGTCATAGCAGGCATTGGCCTTAAGGTGTGCATGAAAACAAAAGAGAACACAGTGACAACTCAGCTGTTTGCATGAATGGCAATGTAATGTTTAATTTATTTTCATTCTTGACAATGGAATAAATGAGACGTCTGGAACGGTTGCTCAAAAAGTTGCTATGTGAACATTTGATTCCATGACAACTTTGCAAATTTCATTTGCTGAGCAAAATCCTGTGAGGAAAACTCCAGAACATAACACCAAACATATTAAGCTCCACAAAATTTATGGCAGGGCTACTGTATTTGATTGCATTTGATTGTGCAGTTTATCTAACGCACAGTGTGGCAAGTTTCAGTTGTGAAATTTGGAAAACACAGACATTCCTCATAGAAGTATTTCCTGTCCCCCGGAGGAATTAGAATCCATTATCTTGTTGTTTTGATACGCAGTTCTCGCTCTCATATTTGGTCTGTCCTAACAAAACCCTGACCCCCGTGATGGGACTTCCTCTTGGTATGGGCTGTTTGTTCAGGCTGTTCACACAAAATCACCCCATTCCAGCTCTCTGTGCCACATTATGTTGTTTCGTCAAAGTGCTGCAGTATGTGGTGGCACATACTCGACTTTGGCTGTGTTTATGTTAATGTGTTTGTATTTTTGTGAAAGACAGACATATCAACGACTTGTAATGTGGAAGAGAGAAGCCAAATGATGCATTGAATTGTCAAAAACACCAGATATACTTTACTTTTTCTGTCGAGAAGTCTCACTCTTTCGTACCAGTTTTTCATAAGCTTGCCCTGTGTGTTGTTTGTTTCCGCATATTTTCATGCAGCTGCTATTTAAGTAGCATAAATGAAGTTGTATGTTCCTCAGGGGGGTATAAGCAGTAATGCACAATGTCCACCAGGAGCCTCTTTTACAGTCCTGGCTTCATGTTCTTGTTATTGGTAATGAAAAGGACATACTGCAGCACATTCCCTACAGCAGCAATGGCTGTCAAAGTCATCGAGTTGAATACATATAAATGATTTAAAACCATTTCTTGCAACAAACAAATATGCAATTGTGATTAGCAGAAATGCGCTAGAGGATGTTTCCCAAGTGAATCCAAACAGTGTGAGATTCTGAGTGGAGCACATAAAAAATACCCCCAAGGGGGTGTACAGAACAAAACCCAGCAGACACACACTGTATCGCTGAGATATGGAATATACGCAGCACTCAGGATGCCAAGACAACTATGGTTACAAGAAAGTAAAGCAGGAGGAGAGTGGAGGGACAAGTTAACACGACTAGCAACACGTAGGAGGAGAGAGGGTTGGTGAGCAGTCAGAACAGCTCGTCAGGATGTGCAGCAATAGTAAGAGTCAGATTACACTGATCACCTGACAAGACGTGCAGCGTCACTGCTCTTCCTGATCCGAGACAAACCCCAGCACAAACAGTTTAGAAAGCGCTTTCTTAACGGCACATTTTCTGATGATATCTAAAGTAGCAGGCTTTTTGGTAATTTCCCTTGAATCTCGCAGATTCCTTCTCATTCAGCGCGTGAGCTCTGCAAACATGCCGACGCCCGATCAAAAGAACACGTGCCAAGATAATGTATGAGTATCCCGAGAGAAGGGAACGATTTTGTCGACTGCACACGGATCAAGTTGCAACATGATAAGAGCAAATCCATTACATATGTAAATACTTTGCTCTGGGCAGCAGCGTGGTATGTCTGATCGTCGATAAGCAGAAGATCTGTAGGGAGAGCCTTAAAAACCCCCAAGACAAATATTTCCCCCTACAACAAGCTACATTTACTTTACCAGTAAACCTATGTAAAGCAGCAAGCGTCCTGCAGCTGCAAGCTTGCAACCTAATTGAGGAAACAGATCAAGTGAAGTGAAGCAGGACTGATTAGATCTTCCAGCATTCTCAGTGGCGAGACGTCATTGAATACACAAAAGTCCTGCGGGAGTGGAAGCCATGGGTGTAATGCCGCCGATGCTGAAAATGGGGGGAAAAAACACGAGGAAACACCTTTTTCCAGGGTTTGAAGTTGCCAGTCATTATCAAATGACGGCTGCATATTGCAAATGGCCTTTGGCTTACATTTCTGGCATGACAGTGGGGCCATTACAGTTTGTACCGACTCCGCAGTGATGAAGTTAAAAGTGGTCAAACTCCGGGGAGATGTGATGAATGCACGCAGATTGTGACGGTTGTTAAGCCTGTGATGAAAACTCTGACCTGTCATCATCTACCGCACCTGTTTTATCCCTCTCCAACATCCACTGGCATCTTTGTTAAAGCTGTGATCACAATGTAGCCCAAGTGGTGCCTATGGGCAGGCTGCGAAAACGATAATTAGCTCAACGTAACTTCCAAGAAATGTCCCCTCGCTGGTCGCTCTTTCCTCATCCTTTCCTCTTGTGCAGCAGACAGTTTACTTGACTGACTTGTGCAGTGCGTAATCACAAGTTTATGGTGACACCGATGACAAAATGACAACACTAATTTGCTCACCCCAGCTGCACCCTCCCCGTCCCGTTTTAGTCACAGCCAGTAGTTCATGGCGAGGTCATGCCACGAGGGAGTGTTTGTGCTTAAATTACAATTATTACTTGTGTTTAATCAGAGTTTTTTGTCTGAGGCGCTTTGCCGCCACAGTCTGCATGTAGCATGTGCGAAAGCTTAATTAAGCTTTTACTGAATGCATACATCTTTATTAATAGTTTGGACTATTTCTGGGGCGGTTTTTGTATTATTCATTCTAATTTGGAAGATTTATATTCTGTATGTAATCTCTAAAAAAAAAAAGAACATTAAAACACCCTCTTGGTCCTGCAAAAAGGCAAAGTTTTCTTATACATTAGTTAGACTTTCCCCAAGAACAAACGTGTTGACAAAGACTCAAAGCACTCCACCCTAATTTGACCAGCTGGCTTACAAGGAGACATGGCTCAAAGAAATGACTTTGGACCTCCATTCTTCGCCGTAGAAGGTTTATGCGAGGCTAATTGAATTTAGTGGAAAGAGAGAATAGGGACTAGTCTGTGAGAAGACTTTGCCAAAAAGCCCACCTCCAGACTTGAGGTCTAATTTCTGCAGAGCCCACTGTGTAGACATTCTGTGGCACAATATCAAGGCCACAGGTAATTCATCTTCTGGCTCTAGCTCTGCTTTGCAACCTAATTAAATGAATAAAGATGTGAAGAAATCTTCATTTCCGTAGGGATAAACACATTGCTGCACGGAAAAGGTAAGAGGAAAGACCAGCTTTGTAAAGCAAGAATAGAGGCAGATGAGAAAACCACGGGCTGGGAGATAGAGAATGGCTGAGGACTTCGAAATAGTGAAGAGAGGAGGAAAAAAAAGCAGCATTCTGATTTACATGCAGCTGCAGTTGCTGGCTCATTTGTTTTGATAATAACTCATCCTGCACACAGAGCTGACTCCACCATATATATCTGAGTTAACAAACATTTCAGTTCTTGTGTTAACACTCCACATCGAAAGCAAAGGGCGTTATACGAGACCAGGAGGCAACTTGTGCCGTCGACACAAGACACACTTGAGTGCACCGGCTGACAGTTTAAATGCTGCCGGCCTCACCGCTGAAAACATCTGGCGTGTCTTTGGTGTCTCCTGCAAAAATAAGCGCTCTTTCTTACAACTTCGTTCCCTCACTTTCCTCACTCATCAATTTTAAGGAGTATGCAAATGGACGATTTCTCCAGCCTCCCTGGGAGTCTTCATGGTTGCAACAACAGGGCAATAAATTCTCATTAAGGCTTTCCTTCCTTGAAAGGCAGAAATTGAAGTTGGGATATTCGTGTTTGTAGTCCCAGGCAATTGGAACAAATGGGGAGATCTTGTGTAGGGAAGATAGGCTTCCAGCATTAATCGGGTCCCCACAAAATCCCCCAGTCACCCCCCCAGCCCCTCCGCTGGCTCCATGGGGAGTGTCAATGATGAAGTCAGCCACGGGGAGCGACGGCCCTGCGCCACTGTGCTCAGCCTCTCTCCCCTCTGACAGGCC